CATTTTTATCCACCTACTGAGTCCTTCCCAAGGACCTGGGATAGGCAGATGTTGTTTGATGATGTTCAAGGCATCGTCGCAGGATATAAGCTGTTCCAAGTAAAGCTGCCTTTTGCAATTGACTGATGGTGACTTTGTCAGTGCCGATGGTGTTCAAGTGTGCTCCAGTTGTTTTGGGATTGCACCCAAGATACCTATTACTATTGGTACTATCTTTGCTTTCCTTTGCCACAGTTATTCTATTTCTCTTTGCAGGTCTTTGTATCTTGTGATTTTCTCTAGTTCTTTCTCTCCTATTCTGCTGTCTCCAGGTATTGCAATGCCCACTATCCAGACTTTTTTGTCTTTCTTACCAACAACTGTTAAGTCTGGGGTGTTGTGTGGCAGGTGCTTGTCTGTTTGAATTCTGAAGTATTATTATTATTATTATTATTATTATTATTATTATTATTATTTCAAAGCTTTTCAGCAGACTTCTGGCTCCGCAAATCCAGTTTGATCAATCAGCCTTGCTGTGCTAGAAAAGGCATTCTGAGTTGAATGACAGAAGATCACTGATTTTTATCCCTCCTGTGATACTAGGTAGGCAGAAGATTGTAAGATTACTAATATTGTCCAGACATAAGTACCAATGCAGTTTTATCTCTGCTGCTGCTGCTGCTGCTGCTGCTATTATTATTATTATTATTATTATTATTATTATTATTATTATTATTTATAAAAATACTATTTTCTGCACAGGATTGGAGAGACAAAATGCCACCAGTGATTTGCCACTCCAGAAGGTTTATCTGCACATCTTGTATAGTATCTACATTGAAAGAATTACTCTATGGAGTGCACTATTCCTTGAGGTTCCTTTGGATCTTTCTTCCCGGGCTTCTGGTAAGCACTGGAGACTTGGCTGTTTAAGTGGACTTTTGAGATCTAAACTGATGGTGGATGGGTGGCCATTTTATTGTTTCTGTTTTCAGGTTAATGTTAAGGTGTTGGGGTTAATTTATGCTGGGATGATTCTATGTTTTATCTTGTACACTTCTGAGAGTCATTTGAATGAGCAGTATGACCTCTGTAAGCAATAAAGTAAATAAGGGATTGTGGGGAGATGGGCGGGGACAAGTCTATTAAATGAATGAATGAATGAATGAATGAAACATCATAGGGAAGATCTAGACCCTAATCCAAACAACTGCAGAGACAGAGTAATTATTTTTGTTTTAGTTTAGCAAACAGTCTGTTGGGTTGTATTACAAGTTGATTTTCAAGTGAAATGGTTACTTTTCAGAAAATAAAGAAGGAAAAAGGTCTTGCTATATCTGTACTGAGGGACTGTGTATGATGGACATTGCTGCAGCAATGCAGATAGCCAGGCAAACATCTGCTTTATGAAGGTCTATGTTAATAATTTTGTCAAAGAGTTATCTGTGCGAATGTTAATGCATTTGGTTTAGTTTTGGCTTAGTATGTTGTATGAATCCAGCCATCATGGTTTGTAAATCATTGTTTTATAGCATAGCACATTTGGATTTAGCCAATTGGGGCTTATTCAACAAACCATGATTAACATGGCTTGGCACTGTGTGTGAATCCTGGCTGAAAGATGGTTCATGTATCAAACTAGCACATTCTGTGGTTTACTTTTGTCTTAGTGTTTTGTGTGAACCCAGCCAATGTATAGTAGATTGTCATAGTTTATGATTTGATAAGTTTTTTGAATCCTCTGTTTATTCAACTGATCATGGTTAAGCAAACATAGCTTAGCACAATATGTGAATCTAGTCTTAGCATCTTTAGAAAAAGAAATATTTTTGAGTAATCAATTTGGTATTGCCTGACCTAAAATCCCTCTACGAGGAAGTGAATGAGGGGTGCTTCCTCTGGCTTTGAAAGAGGTGGTAGTCTGCCCTTTCCTCAAGAGACAATTGCCAAATCCTCTGGACCTGGACAACTTTTGTCCAGTCTTCAACCTTTTTGGGGGACGGTTGTTGGGAAAGTGGTTGGCATGTAGCTCCAGAAGGCTCTAGAGGAACTGGATCGCCTGGAACATTTTTGGTTGGGTTTCAGGCCTGATTATAGCATTGAGATGGTGTTGGTTGCAATTGTTGATGTCCTCCAACAGGACCAGAACAAACTAATGCATCCATTCTGGCTCCTACTAATCTCTCAGGAGCTTTTAATACCATCAACTATGGCATCCTTCTGGACTGGCTCAAGAATTGGCAGTGGGAGGCATAGTGCTGTGATGGTTATCCTTCTTTCTTTAGGGCCAGTTCTAGTCTGTGTTGGGGGAAGGGGGAAAAGCTCTGCTTTGTGGTGTGCTTCAAGACTCTGTCTTCTCCCTGCTTCTATTCAACCTCTGCATGGAAGCTGCTGGATGAGATTATATACATCTCTGCCCTGGACTGACCAAGTGGTCAAGGTTCTTTCCCAGTGCTTGGAGGTTGTAGGGGTCTGGATGGGAAAGAACAGTCTTTGGCTTAACATTGGGAAGACTGAGTAACTGTGGGTTTTTAGGCTTCATGGGTCTGGAAGTTTCCATCTTTAACTCTGAATAGAGTTCTACTCCCCTAGATGGGGTTGATGCATAATTTGGGAGTGCTCTTGCACTCACATCTTCTGCTTAAAAAGCAGGTAACAACCATGGCTAACAGGATTTTGTGCACCAGTTGAATCCATTCCTAAACCAGGCCACTCACATCCTAGTCACTTTCTGTTTGAATTATTGCAATGCACTCTACATAGAGCTGCCCTTGAAGAGTATTTGGAAGCTCCAGCTGGTCCAGAATGCAGACTGTACTGGCTCCCAGTGGGCTTCCAGGTGCCATTCAAGATGATTGTCATCATCCCTAAAGCTCTTCCTAGCATAGGACCAAGTTATCTGCAGGACTGCCTATGTCCAATTGTTTCTTCCTATCCCACCAGATCCAACAGAATGGGTATGCTCCAGGTCCCTTCTGTGAAAAAGCATCACCTGATGGCACCTAGAAAAACATGACTTCTGTGTTGTGGTGCCTGCCCTATAGAACACTGTTCCTCCCAAGATCCAGATGATTCTGTGTGTCTTCGGTAAGGCCTTAAAGATCTGACTATTTCCCCAAGTCTTGGGCTAAGTTGTTAAATGGGCCTGGTTCATATGATTTTTGTCTCAGGAGTTTTTGAGTTAAAACTAAACACCTTTGAACTGTGTTGATGGTTGTTATGGTCGTTTTATTTATTTCTGTTATTGTGGGTGATTTAAATTTTTGTTAGTCACCCAGAGTAATATGCTGAGAAGGGTGGCCGTCTGAGTCTAATAAATAAATAACCAATTTCTCCCAGGTTTTCTTTTGAACATGTTTATGTTTGTTTTTCCTTCATATGCTTATGCTATTGTGTGTGTGTGTGTGTGTGTAATATTACATCTGGCACTGCATTTTAAGAAATATGTAGGATCAAGCACTAAAGGACTAATTTCATCTTTGTGAACAACTTTATTTTAAATGCCAGCAAGATACAAAACAATCCAGGTAAAGGCATACTTTCTATTTTATTATTATATTAAACTCATGGGCTGAGGATAATAACTACCAAGTGATTGAATCTATACTCTGAAGAACAATCTGAATTTGATTGGCAATCATAGATATATAAAATTAATGGACACTTTGATATAACATCAGACACTTGTTTCTTTGTACCTTATCTTAAAAGTAAAGAAAATAAAAATAAAAACAAAACAAAACAAAGCAAACACTAAACCTCCTTGCAAACTACAGTGACTGAACCCATGGTGGGTTCTGTAATTGGCAGGAAATTATTCTTCTCCAACCACAAATCTGCTAGTTGTGTGCAATAAATCACTTTCTTGTAGGATAAAAAAAGCTGTGTTAAATCAAAACTACATGACTCTAGGAGCATTAGATTTATGGCAAACTAAAAGGAGCTTTGTGCATCCATTTCAAACTTTTTCTTCTAGATATTGATTGGCTATACAAAAATCTCCTCTATCCTCTCTCATCTCCAATTCTACAAAGATTTAAGGAATGAGCAACAGTGGAGAGATAGTATTGGTTACAGTTTTTATATGCATTTGAAAGTCACTTCCAAAGAAGACACCCAGATAATAATTGAGGACTCCAGCCACAGACATCAGGAACAGAAAAAATATGATGCGTTTTCCAAAGATGTAACCAGGAGTGCTTAAAGAAGAATGGAAGAAGATTATCAGTTCACTAGAAAAGACCAAAATCTCTCAATCTGTTATCAAAGCCAAGATCCATTTGAATACAGTACACCTTAGATATTTTGGAGTGAAATCTGCACGAGCCCATGTCTCTGCAGCAGAGTTATGAGATTAGCAGATAAATTTGATGCAAGTATATAATGTATGCATCTTAAAATACATAGGGTTAGACTTAATATGCCTCTTAATATATGTCCATTTTGGATGGCATATTGATGATTTTTGGCAGCATGATTTTTAATTTTTTTAAAATCATCACTAGAATAAATATGTAAAAACAGTTTTGTTAAAATGCCTGTTTTAGTAATCCAAATAACGGCACCCACCCCCACCCAACAGGAGGCTGAAAATTCCAGCACCACCCCTTCTGCTGATATCACTGCCTCTTGTATTCATTAAATATTTTTTTTAAAAAAAACTTTTAAAAGTTGGGAAAAGACTGCTTGCCTCTGCTTTAGCTGACTATCCCACAACCCCAGGGTTTGCAGCTGGGAGTTGATGCAGCCTATACATAACACTTCAGTGGCTGTGAAATCTGTAGTGCTTAGCATTGGGAAAACAAACAGGATGAAAGAGAAGTTCTAGTCAACTTTTTTGTGGTCTTCTTTTTTGTGTTTTAAATCTAACATCCTTGTAATCCAACAACATGTTCTTAATATGCACTCTGCAAAAGTGCACACTCAGGATCTCTAAATACTTAAGATAAAACTGATCTGTTAATTGACTTTGCGTTTAGACTTGGTTTCAGAATATAAACATTCTTTCTGTCCCACCATTCTGTCTTTGCAAGTAACCCAATAACCAACATCTACATGGTGGCCACTAGAAATAAGTTACTGATCTCAGCATAGTTCTAATTTACTGTATTTTCAGCATACTGGTGTCAGAAAGAATCTGGAATTGTCTGAACAGTGTGGAACAATGTTGGAGAGTTTGTGAAGGAGAAGGCTGGTCATCTGGACGTGCTATAACTTTTCAGTTAATTTAACCCTTGCATTTATGAATGTTGTTTGCATATGGATTTAAAAGTACAAAAAACTTCAGAGAACAAAACAAGGTAGATCTACTTCCTTCTTCCTGTTCATTTTCTCCTCTGCCCGGCTACCCCCCAATCCCATTTAGAATTGCAGACTCGTTCACTTTTTATTTTTCAGAATTAACTTGAGAGGGCAAATCTGAAAGTCTTTCCTGGCTTAGCTTTTTCCAGTTGTTTTGCACCACAACTCTTGTAATTCCAGCTGATTATGGGAGTTGTAGTTTAAGACATCTGGAGAGAGGCAAGTTAGAATGACAGAATATGGGATTAGGAATAGTAGCGCTGGCAGGAGGAGAAATAAACTCATAAATGCTCATCTGACAACTCTGGAAAAGAAAAAAATGTGGAGTTACCTCTGAGTCCTTTCCCCCATGTAGCCGACAAAATACTTTTGTCTCACAAACAAATACATCAGCCCAGCAAAGGCAGCAGGAGCTGAAATGAAGAAAGAAGGAACCAATTTTTAAAGAGGGGCTGGCTTCACACATTTGCTATGGTTTACATAGGCAACTATTAGAAGCCACCATGGTGTCATCATGCACATGATGTCACATGCCCCTCTGCAGGTGACCATGATAGTTTATTGCCTAGGCCACAGCTGGTTGGTTTCACATACTGTGCTAAGCCATGAACCATGATTAACACAAGAGTGCCAAGTTTACTGAAAACATTAAGTCAAAATTAAGCAAAGTATGCTATGGCTTGGCGCCATCTATACACCCAGGAAATTTGCATGACACATTCAGCCATCGAGGGGATCAGCCAGAATATACACCCTGCCCTCTTCTTGGTTCTGCACCATTCTTTAACCGTGGTAAGCAGCTTGCCTTTATGGATCCATGCATCATATGAACCTGAAGTAGCCATTATTTTTTGTTAGAATTAACTGTCATTTGAATCAAGCTTTCCAGGTTTTATCTGCCAAATATTTCCTTGCCATAGAATAATTAAAGGCATAAAAGATCTGCCAAGAAAAAGGTTGTCAGCCTATATTCATGTCAATATCATGCTATAAAATATCTATCCAATTGCCTGTCTCAGGGTGGTATTTGTGTTAACGGTTCTCTTCCCATAGTTTTTAAATGAAGCCACCTCGCTTACTTTTCTTGAGAGCTCTAGCAAGAATCTTTCAAAAGGAAAATTCAGTATTATTGTTCATTCTCAACAGCAACAAAAGGGACCAAGGGAATGAATTTTAATATGAGATCCATGTAATAATAAGAATTAGCACCTCTTTTCCTTCCCCACCTATTTTTTTTTTCTTTTGTTATGTTTTATGACATATATAAACAGACTCTGGGAGCCTTTCAGGCTGAAGAGCAGGATCCAAAGAATGGATTACCCACCTTGGCTGCACAGCAGGCCGGCACACCAAAGCACAGCAAGAAACGTAGGATAGGCATCTCTACAATTTTGGCTAGAGAAAAATTAGGAAGAGGAAGAGTGAGGGCACATTATACTGAGAGTAAGAGAACGTATCCATAGCCATGACATTTTCAAAAGTAGTTAACAAGTGGCGTATGAACTAAAATCAATCCTGCCTTACCTTTTACTATGTTAAGAATCTTATGTAAAATTGTTCAGCATAAATATTATTTACACAAAGCTTAATTTAACTTAGGTCTCACCCAATACTCTGCTTTATACAGGTGGTCCCCAGTTTAAGAACCATTTCCATTCCCAAGGTCTGTCCTTATGTTGAATTTGTATGTAAGCCAGAACAGTATTATTGTATAATATTATAT